CGAGGAAATTTGGAGTTTCATCTTTACGGGAGTAATGTCAAATACTACGGTCAATTTTATATGTTGCATTTGTATATATATATCATTCATATGTGTCGTTGTATTTAGATTCACGTTTTAGATATCAACACATCAACCACCAACTGTTTTCACATCCATAAACAAATAATTTATTTTATCTCGTTTAGGAAGAGACAGCAATGCGTTAGTCATTTTTAATAAGGAACAATTATACCGTCAAAATTCCAAGTTCTCACCGCAAACCTAAATAACTCAAAAAACCTTTCGGTTTTTTTGCTTTCTCGGTAACGTACATCTATTTTTAAAATGTTTCACGATAATCGAAAATTATAACTATATTAATATTATCTGGCTTTTATCTGTAAATGGTCTTAAATAGACATCCTTTGATGATTACTTTCCGAAAAAGAATATTTATTTTCCACCCCAGCGGTCATTTGTTCCTTGCTATATCCACACAGATCCCGGAATGAACACGTTGTTGTTTACAGTGATAATTTGTGGAAATGTATTTCGAATCCTCCGATGGTGCCTGATATTGACATGCACCCTGTTGAAGGGCCCTGGCGTTGTACATAGCTGTCACTCAAGGTGTTAATAACATACCTCTACTACAAGTATTTGTTTATGCAAAAATAACTAATACGATTGTCAGCACAGAGCATATAATTGATTTCGATGTTCATTACAGATGCAATGAGCAGGTGCTCGTTTGTTTGATGGTGAAATTGACAGTGATTGACAGGTGATGAGGTGAAATGTGCCACTAAGCGATGGAACGATTTGCAGATTGATTCGATGATTTGGTAAACGTACACGCGTTTAGGTATATATGTCCCACGTCTGATTACCGCTGTAGCTTCCATTCTGTGTTTAACTACATTTTTGGATGGTTAGCATTTATAAACATTACCTTGATATTTAAACATAAAGATTTTAACGCCGAGGGGGTACTCGCAGATACAAATCCCAAGGGTACATTACAGAATGAGATAATATTTATGTTCGCGGGACACTAAAATGAGCACACAATTTGTCCAATTTTCTTATCCGTTATTCGCAAATACAGTTTCTTTTTCTAAGCCTTTATAAATTTTTCTCCAAAAAGTATGAAACCGTCTACTAAGCGTTGTAATTGAAATAACAAAATCTGAGTGAAAATAAACATTTGCGTAAACACAAGAAAAGTGATTAATAGCAAAATATGAAGCAACTTTAATAACTTATTGATCCAGCATTAACGGGAACTAAAGGTTAACTATACTGTAACGAACTAATGTTCTCATGTGAAACTAAACCAACAAACTGGTAATCCAGACCATGTACATAGTCGTCCTGGTATGATTACTGGCAACTCCAATCATTTCCCCATCCGATCTCATTCCCTGGACAGTCCCAAGGGCTTGCTATTACATTGTAGTTGCAGGTGAGAATGTACCAAGGGAGGCAACTCTTCCAAGATTGCCGTTGCGCTGACGATCGATTCACGATTGTTGCATGTCGGTTCGAAACGAAACACGTGAATATTATTGTTGTATGGTAGGCATTGTAAAATGAATATAAGAAACATACAGTGAACGTACACTATAGTAAGTTAGGTTTGTGTTTGTTTTTTAACATTCAAATAAATGTACTTATTTCTATAATGTGATTGCGAACACATGTCATTCACATGATATTCCTTCGTGTTAAGACGACAAATATTACATTTATTAATAATGTGTTACCGGTCAGTGAAGCGATGTCAAAGGAACACATACCTTGTTTTGACGAATCTGTTAACAATAATCAAAGAATATACACGACCTGCGTTAAAACTGTCACAACAAATTCCACCGTTTCTAAGAAGTTCTATTTCTTTATTATCATTGCATGGTTCTGTTCAACTATGGTATTCAGGGTGATCGACAGTTTGTTTGGGTTGGGTTGGGGTAAAGTTAAGTGTTAGTACGATTGTCCGGAGTTGGTGGAAGAGGTTTTTTTTTTGTGTTTTAATTTCATTCCTCAATCTATGCTGCCATGATTGTTGCGTGGTATATCGTACTGTCATTCGGAATAGAATATTTATGTTAGGAGCACCAGAAATGGACTTCACACATTGTACCCATGTGGGGAATCGAACCCGGGTCTTCGGCGTGACGAGTCAACGCTTTAACCACTGGGCTACCCCACCGCCCCTCCTGCATTATGAAGACAGAGGAATCCAGAAGTGGGCTTCCCACCTTGTGCCAATGTGGAGAATCGAAACGGGGTCTGTGGCGTGACGAACGAACGCTTCAACCACTAGACTACCCCTCCGTAGACCAACTTAATTAGTCTCTTAATAGTAACAACCAAGTAACAAACCAAGCCCATTTAAATTGATAAGGAGCCCCAGGGAGACCAGAGATTCAAAACCTGAGGCAATCTAGACTTGCTTCATTATGGGCTTTAGCACTGCAGATATGGCTTGGCAGTAGGGAAAATAATGTGGTTCAGGGACTGTGACAGACTAACCCCTCCGCTGCTCTAAGGATTCGAACTTGAGAGAAACTGGGATTTGAACCAGGTTCACGTTTCACAAAACTATCGTTGGGGAACGACTGTCGTAACTACTGTACTTTAATATAGGAGGCGGTGGGGTAGCCTAGTGGCTAAAGCGTTCGCTTGTAACGCCGAAAATCCGGGTTCGATTCCCAACATGGGTACATTGTGTGAAGCCCATTTCTGGTGTCCCCAGCCGTGATATTGTTTGATTATTGCTAAAATCATCCTAAAACTAAACTCACTTTAACATAGCCTTACGATAGTCATACTGCTACCATCGCTTTGTGAAACAGGACCCTGGTATAAGAGGACCCCAAAAGAACGTTGACAGCGGATGTTAAATAAACTGCGGCGCCTTTGTCTTACGGGCCACCAGTGTGCCCTGCAGCGCACAGGGCTGACTAGACTAATGCTTAGTCTCTGAATATATATAAGTTTGATAGTAACAAGCAAGCCCATTTAAATTGAAAAGGAGCCCCAGGGAGACCAGAGATTCAGAACCTGAGGAAATCTAGACTTGCTTTATTCATTGCTTTAGCACTGCAGAGAGGGCTAGGCAGTAGGGGAAATAATGTGGTTCAGGGACTGTGAGACAGACTAAGGACTGACATCCACACGACCGACATTCCGTCGGCTACACGGCATAATAATCGGTATCAATACATCAATAATCATTTATGCCATGTCATCTTTGGTTTATCTACATGCATGCGAGGAATCTCATCCGAGAGTCGTATCCGACAATTGTATCCGTGTACCCCGAGATATACCGGCGACCAACACCCACATTGTTGCGTGACTGCATTGCTAGGATCAATTACTTGTGTATTTAACCAACTGTCTGATGAAATCAGCCATTACAGACAGATCGAAGCCTGGTGATTGGGATCTATATCAGAGATCGATGTTGCTAGAACAAACACTTCAGCTAACCCTTTATCGTTTAGAGGACGCGCTGATATCTGTTACATGAAAGCATGGCTTGATCTCGCAGTCTTACCTTTTTTAAGTGTTGTATCACTTCCTCAACAGCCGGGCTGTACAGGGAAACACCCACAGGCTGGGATGTTAACAAAAGATAACACGTTGTTCCAGCAAATGCTTGGAAAATAATGACCCTTCAGACAGTTGAAGAGAAGAAAAAGGTGTCTGCCACAAAAATACATGTCTTCAATTACTTTCTATATAGGCTCATAGTATTCGATGAAACATTATCTAGTCTCCATAAATAATACAAGCGTGGGACCTGAATATGTCACAATGGGATTAACGCTTTGTGTTGGGAATAAGCCGCGGCAGGAATGAATGATCAATGGCTACCTTTAAGTTGACATTTGACCGCCTCCGTGGTGTAGTGGTTAGAGCGTCCGCCCGGAGAGCGGAAGGTCGCGGGTTCGATCCCCGAACGCGTCATACCAAAAGACGTTCAAATATGGTACTTGTTGGTCGCTGCCTGGCGCTCGGCATTATGGGTACAAGAAGGACTGGTCGGCTCGGAGTCAATATAATGTGTCTGAGTGGGGTATTCATGCTTCACTGCGGCGTGGTATCTCATTGTGCTAGCACTATAAAACCAGCTTCAGTCTGGGCTAGTACAAGCATCCGCACATACACATACACACGCATGCACGTCGTCATATGAGCGAAATATTCTCAAGCACGACGTTAAACCCAATTTCACCTCACCTTTAAGTTGATTTAACGAGTTAACGAATGGTATTTTCACGATCTATGCGATATAGCAGACTGTTGTGATCAAAGTAACACTGATATAAAATTCAGTGATATACCTCTTGACTTTTGTATACATATCTCATAATGTTTGATTTAAATACGAGACACCTACTTATGATCTAATACTTATACTCTTTCATGTATTACTATGACATCAAGTTACTATGACACGACCGCTTTTCTTAATTATACTAATATATTATAGAGATATTCACATACATACCCAATATTTGTTTTAACATTTTGTTGTTAATAATTAAAATCACTATCATTACAAATGTAAAAAACACAATCACAATGAACCTCCTAATCATAATGCTTTGCAACAAATCTTTACCTGACAGAACGTCGCTATATAACAATTATTGGTAAATACAAGTGTCCTCATATTTCATCTTTACATAAAGATTAAACAGAAAACACAATTGTGCCTATATAGCACTATACTAAATAGCGATGATGTGTAATTGGAACCAGGTGTATAAATCACAATATTAACCATACGGTACAATACAACCTCAATAAATCGTATTACACGATTATGTGTATGTCCTAAAAGAAGCATTCTCCCTTACCCCGACTTCTAAGCACTATGACACAGGGCAATCCTATCGTCGGCCCTAAACACGACTTGGCTTTTAAGGGTTAAGGCCCATAGTGTATCTACAACAACATAAAGTTGTCCCCGCAATACCTTCAGTGTGTGGCGTGATGTCAAGCGAGGCGATATCTTTGTAATGTATACCATGTTCATTGCTACATACACTTGTCATTCAATCCCCACTGAAAGGAGTGATTAGACACCCATAAACTCACGTCCCAATCGGGGTGGCACCGTCGTCCAGGCAACAGGGCACGTGCGCGTCAGGTCGCGTCAAACATGCACACCTAGGAGTTTGGAGATTGGAAGGAGTATATGTCACGTAAAGGGATTGAGAGGACAGCGAGCCACGCTGCACGCGAGCCACGTTTGATCCGACTATTTGGGATTATGTTAAGTACATTGGTCTACGTTTGTTGTCTTGGGGATGGTGTGTGGTTTCATTGTAGAGCGAGATTTGAGCCTGCCATGTGGACGAGTTGTTCAATGATGTGTGTAAACTGATTGGGATACTTCACAGTACCTTGGACGGGGAACAGTTCCAAACTGAGGGTGACTGTGTGGCGGCGGTCTGTAGGAGCTACTGATTTAGAACATGCTGGATCATGACGATGAAACACAAACAGTGAGATACGTATTTTGTTGACATTCAAAGAGTAATTGTTGACCATCTTTCATTTCTCTTTTGGAAACGTAAAAGAATGTCGCAACACATTGATTGACGGTGAGGTAGCAAGATTTATCAAAACGGATACGGACCATAACGTTTATCATTGTGTTCATTGACTGAAAACCACCAAGATGACTTTCTCCCCACCTAGAACAAAACGGTTGATTAAGACTGCTCTCCATCAAGCAGTACTAGACTGTCGTCTGCACCAAGTTCGTCTGCTCGTCTCAAACCATGGCGCGAATGTTGACTGTCGAGACATCAATGGCCGAACACCGTTGATGTTGTCCTGCATGATCGACAACGAGGAATATGGCTATAGGATGGCGAAGATCTTCCTCAAGAAGGGAGCTCATTTGAACATGAAGGACAACATGGGGAGGACTGCCCTCAGCTATGCTTGTATGAAGGGTAAGCAAGAGATAGTTGAGAACATACTTTCTGAAGACGTCCTGGACATCAACGAGCCAGACACCGACGGGAACACCCCTCTTCATCACTCTGCACTCAGTGGGAATCCCAAGATTGTTGGACAAATTGTGGATGTTTTCAAAAGATTTGGTTTAAATATTGACAGGAGGAACAATCTTGGCTACACAGCTCTGTTACTCGCCTGTAAGAACGGGAACTATGTCTCTGCGCATGTGCTATTCACGAAGGGAACCGCATCACCAACCTTGAGGGATGGGGAGTTTTATCTCAACGCCGTAGACTGGGTTGGTAGAAGTCATAGCTTACAGCTCAGATTCAATGAAAGATCTCTGACCGTTCTTCCGGACAGGGAGACAACCCCCCAAACTCTCGCTTTTGAACGAGAAAAAACTATGTATCAGCGCCCTTGGACTCCAATTTGCCGCCATGTGAAATCGAGACAGAACCCACTGTGTTTATCGGTTGGTAGCGCCTTACGACTGCCGCTAATTCTCGGAACACAAAAACAGCATCCCGACAGATCGGAGACTTTCATCGATGGGGAAGATGCCCGAGAGATCCTCCTGGCCGAGATGCAGGAAGGCGACGGACGTGGCAGACCCGTATCTACTAAAACCGCATACACCAGATGGTCCCATCCTTCTACGGCCAAGCTGCGGGCACTGACCAAGAGATCCAACACCATTGTGCCCGATATGGTCACTATATTCCAGATCTACTCCGACCAGTATCAACCAGACTGGCGGAAGCTGAGAGGGAGGAAGCAGCCGAAATGTGCTGCGATCACTTCCGGTCCAGAAACATCTACTTCCGACTCTGAACAGCCACTTGCGGAAGTAGCGGCGTCTTGAACGTGTCAGTGTTCCATGAACAGCGCTGTGACTGGTCAAAGGATAAGAACGCTTATTCCGCAGAACGTGTTATTATCGCATGTTGAATTCAAAAGGGTTTCCAAATCGGTGTAAAGACTGCAATTGTTTATATTATGCATGCATTCTCTGGTCATTGTAAAATGAAATACGTGTTGTTACTGCACAGATGGTACGTGGTACGTGGTACGTGATACGTGGTACTACGTGGTACGTGGTACGTGATACGTGGTACAAGGATGATTTAGTCACATTGACGTGTTGCATTGGGTCACCACACACCTGCCTGACCATAGATGTAATCCAAAAATGACATACATCGAACACCAATCCTTCGACATATCAGTGACTTGGACACATACCCACTCGGTACAACCGATTCTTGTATATGACTGTCAAATATGACATTTTGTCATTTTCACACACATGTATTTTCTGGTGTTTCGGTGCCTCCAAATGGCATTTGGAGGGAAAACTGTTTTGGTTCCTCGTTGATGACAACATGCTTGTGATACATAGAGTTGCTTGTACTGAAACTTTAAATCGTGGATTTTGTCGTGTTGGTATATATTATCTGCTGTTGTTTTACTCCCGTAATATAATCAATTTCAGTCTGAGATCTTATGCTGAAGTAATTTCATGAATGAAATATTGCTGAAGAAGCTTTGTGTCCATCATTTGTTCCTGCTGTCTGCTGTTGCTGCTGTCTGATATCCCTGCTGTGTGATGTTCCTGCTGTCTGCTGTTGTTGCTGTCTGCTGTTGTTGCTGTCTTCTGTTCCTGGTGCTGCTGTCTGATATCCCTGTGTTCCTGCTGTTCTGCTGCTGTTGTGATGTTCCTGTTGCTGTCTGTTGCCCTGATGTTCCTGCTGCTGTTGCTGCTGTCTGATGGTCCTGCTGTCTGTTCCTGCTGTCTGCTGATGTCCTGCTGTCTGATGTTCCTGCTGTCTGCTGTTGTTGCTGTCTGATGTTCCTGCTGTCTGATGTTCCTGCTGTCTGATGTTCCTGCTGTCTGATGTTCCTGCTGTCTGATGTTCCTGCTGTCTGATGTTGTTGCTGTCTGATGTTCCTGCTGTCTGATGTTGTTGCTGTCTGATGTTCCTGCTGTCTGATGTTCCTGCTGTCTGCTCTGTTGTTAGTGCTGGCCGTGGGTACATGAGTGTCTTACTTACCCACACAAGAAATATAACGTTGAATTCCCTGGTATGTTGTGGTATGTGTTAGACACGTGGTATACCAACAGCTTCAAGTGGAAGACACTTCGGTCGGGTTGTTTATTCAAGATATGGATAGATAATTTACCCACTAACTAAACAACCTAAAATGCGCATACTCATATGTTAACCCTTGAACATGTAAAGTGGCAATGAAACTATAAACAGAATATATGTGACCCTGAACAAATGTAGTGATTCATTTTAAATAATGTGTCTGTTCTCTTTGAATATTCATTAAGTGGAATGAGGTGAAGTAGGGTGAAATGGATTCAGCATTATTTCACAGGCGATCAGTTTAGGGGCATCCGTTAGTTTTCATTCTTGCTCCAGTCACTACCTGTTGAGCTATCATTCATTTATCTCGTGATATTTGGATGTTACCTACTCTAGTGTAAGTTATGAAATTAAACAGAAATTAATATATATTTTCTGATCACCATGGGAACATCTTATTGGAACTGGACGACTTGGCCAATCGTGGCATTAACATGTCATATGACTTGTCTACCTAAGACAGGTCTTCGTCAACGATTGTACGCACGTCATCGCCTTATGGGACGTTAAAACGACGGTAATACGACACACAGGTATCATAATACAGGGGTTATAATGCAACAATACACGAGTACAATTACTGAGACAAGAAGAGCGTGTGTGGAGGCTACAAGTCTCGGTTAATTCATAGGAGAATAATAATGTGTCGGATTTCTGATCCCCACTTTGGACCAACGTGAAGACTCATGAACACGTGTGCCTGCCACAACCCGATCTACCGCCATTGTTGTGTGTCTACTGGGGAGAGAATTGAAAGGGGAAGTTCTGACAGGATTCTTACTGCGTCAATACTGCGCATATCTCGATTTCGTCTCAAATTTGTTATTGTTTCACTCCCAAGGGGTTTAATAAGTTGAAAGAACTTGTCCCCGATCCTTTTCACATTGTGAATAAAATATGTTTAAACTAAACTTGTAATCCGATTCAAAAGTTCATAAATATACTGTGGCTCCTATTTTTGTTTATATTTACATTTATTTGATCTTAAATCATTTAGTTAAATGTATAAAGCATCGCAACGCTAATATTATCGTGAATATTTTAGGCGTTGGTTGGTATAGGCTTCCTAAAGAAATAAACATGACATTGGCAGTGTTGAAATGACTCAATTTCTGAAAAATGTAAGTCCAATATGGATTGTTCATTTTCTTGTCACGGTATCCATGACAGGTATTTATGATAACGAGGCTGCCATCTGTCACGTGACATCACCACCTGTGTGCGCATGGCAGTGTGGGTTGCATCCGGCATTCTTACAGCTGAATTTATGAGTTTACAATTGGAAATAGTAATGAAGCATAGCTATTTAAACCAATACTAACAGTATGTTAAACATCCTTCAACACGTGGCCGGTGTTTTCACAGGCCTGGCCAATAACTCTTCTTTGTGAACTATATTGACTGACGTCAGCTGTGGTAATTTATCTGTGTTTGTGGGAGTTGACCTCTTCGGAGATGTTAACTGGTGCTTCACCAGTCATTATTAGAAGAGTAATTGCAGTAAGTGAGATGCTGGCAGACGCTGGGCACCAGGTAAATGATAGCATCATCTATGCTGGGGTGGTTCTACAAAGAAAGAGGTACGCACCAAGTCAGGTCTCAATAGGTCGTTGACGTTCAAGAGATATGAATTCATGTTCTTTAAGTTGATACAAGAGTTGCTTGTATGTTTCTGTAATGGTCAAATAATAGGTGAGTGTTGTAATGAGGGTGTCCACAGTTTTTTGTATAATTTCGGAAAGAACTTACGCCGTAAAACTAGAAATTCGTAAAATGTCCCAAGGGAAATACCGATTTGGCTCCCCATCATATATCAACTCTTTAACACGAGATATACCTTAACAAGCTTTCCAATACCTCAATTTGTTTATAAAACCACATCGACACGAGGAAACCAGTAATAGGCCCTACCAAAACACCGTGAAATGACTAATACCTTAGTAAGTTTACAAAACCACATCGACACGAGGAATATAGTAATAAGCTTACCAAAACACCGTGAAATGAGTAATACCTTAGTAAGTTTACAAAACCACATCGACACGAGGAAAATAGTAATAAGCCCTACCAAAACACCGTGAAATTAGTAATACCTTAGTAAGTTTACAAAACCACATCGACATGAGGAATATAGTAATAAGCTTACCAAAACACCGTGAAATTAGTAATACCTTAGTAAGTTTACAAAACCACATCGACACGAGGAAAATAGTAATAAGCTTACCAAAACACCGTGAAATTAGTAATACCTTAGTAAGTCTACAAAACCACATCTACACGAGGAAACCCGTAATAAGCTTACCAAAACACCGTGAAATGACTAATACCTTAGTAAGTTTACAAAACTACACCGACACGAGGAATATAGTAAGAAGCTTACCAAAACACCGTGAAATGACTAATACCTTAGTAAGTTTAGAAAACCACACCGACACGAGGAATATAGTAATAAGCTTACCAAAACACCGTGAAGTGACTAATACCTTAGTAAGTTTACAAAACTACACCGACACGAGGAATATAGTAATAAGCTTACCAAAACACCGTGAAATGACTAATACCTTAGTAAGTTTACAAAACCACATCGACACGAGGAAAATAGTAATAAGCTTACCAAAACACCGTGAAATTAGTAATACCTTAGTAAGTTTACAAAACCACATCGACACGAGGAATATAGTAATAAGCTTACCAAAACACCGTGAAATTAGTAATACCTTAGTAAGTTTACAAAACCACATCGACACGAGGAAAATAGTAATAAGCTTACCAAAACACTGTGAAATGACTTATACCTTAGTAAGTCTACAAAACCACATCGACACGAGGAAACCCGTAATAAGCTTACCAAAACACCGTGAAGTGACTAATACCTTAGTAAGTTTACAAAACCACATCGACACGAGGAAAATAGTAATAAGCTTACCAAAACACCGTGAAATGACTAATACCTTAGTAAGTTTACAAAACCACATCGACACGAGGAAACCCGTAATAAGCTTACCAAAACACCGTGAAGTGAGTAATACCTTAGTAAGTTTACAAAACCACATCGACACGAGGAAATATAGTAATAAGCCTACCAAAACACCGTGAAATTAGTAATACCTTAGTAAGTTTACAAAACCACATCGACACGAGGAATATAGTAATAAGCCCTACCAAAACACCGTGAAATTAGTAATACCTTAGTAAGTTTACAAAACCACATCGACACGAGGAATATAGTAATAAGCCCTACCAAAACACCGTGAAATTAGTAATACCTTAGTAAGTTTACAAAATCACATCGACACGAGGAATATAGTAATAAGCTTACCAAAACTCTGTGAAATGCGGATTACGTTGATCACCTTTAGAAAAGATAGTGACTTGTTAAATATCTTCGTTGCCTCTCATTGGTCACGGGCGAAATACCTTCACAAGTTTTCGAGAATACTTTAACGCAAGAAATAATAGATAAGTGTCCTAAAACACTGTAGTAGATAAATACTTGACTCCCAGCACATATATTGACAATGTTATTACTGTCATACATATTTGATCAGTCCAGCTTATCAGTAGATATTAATATGACATGTTTAAACAGAATACAACCACCGTCAATGTCAGAAGGCTTAACACATGTAAGTTTGTCTGTACACGCCCCAATCCTTCTCCGAATCCAAATCCCATGATTCCCAAATGAGTCGACTACCTGCAATGATAAACCTGTTGACAGGCCTCTTGTCCCAGTAACTATCTATTAGGCTTACTCCCTAATCCAATAACCTGCATAACACCCAAACCACGAACAAGTCGCCCAGACTGTATTGAGGCCTAATCCACCATGCAATGAGGCATACCGTGGCATAGTCGGCTTCTAACGACCCAGAGATCAGCCACAATAGACTGGTGGCGGGGCATAGTTGGTGTGGTATAAGCATTTAGTGCTACATGAGTATTGATAGTTTAAGAAGGAAGGGCTTAGGTATATCTCAGGCCACCTGGGAGACACGATTATAATAAATTGATCAGTGTGTTAGGAGGTAACAATATAGGTTTTGTGATCGACGCTTATAGCCACGTTGGTGACATATATCTGTCGATTTGTTACATTGGTTTAAGGAAAGGATGTTAATGTATACAGTTCAGTTTATGTCAAGGGTCTCGGACCGAATCTAGGCTGACGGGCGGAGTGAATTCATTGGAAGGCGTACTGATCGCGAGGAAGGGTTTTTCGGAATTTCTTTTTATCTAATCTTTGCTTGGGAAATGGACACAAGGATGACAACAGTTAAGGGCAAGGCACGAGTTGTACCGTACACGCTCTGATACGTGCCCGGTACTTATGATGGTGATCAGTGATGATTATGCTTATTATGTTTATGACTTTTCAGGACCATATCCGT